ATGTTATCTCTCACTGTTGCTGTTGTAGAGATGTGCCATATCCCATCATATTTTTTCAAGAATGTCATTCATACTTATTCTAAATTCCTGTTCAGTGTATTGTTGCCTTGGTAGTATTTCCAATCACGTTTCTTCCCCTTTTCTATGGGAGTCAGCCTTTTTCCTCCCGAAATGTTGATGATTCTGATATATGCTCAAGTTACATAGCTGAGGATCCTTTTGATGTAGTCTGCTTCAGTGTAGAATAGGATGTCCTGCTCTGACTGGTACTCTGATCTGTTTTTAGGGAGTTATAGGGTAGCAGCAGGTTTGTTAGAAGACTGCACAGTTCCTTGCTGACTTTCCTTAGGATTAAGGGAAGCTCCTGTTTTCTCAATGCAGCACCATGCTCTGGTCTCCCATAGTGCTCTTGAAATCAGAGAACAGTATTTGCTAGCCAGTTTAAAGAAAAGTGATGCACTAGGTTAAATTACTTCCCCCAAGTAACCAATATCTCTATTTTCACTGCCTCCACTCTTATTCCTATGACAAATCCTAGACCATAATCACCCTTACTATGTTAAAGTGGCATCCACGATCGTTTTGCTTTCTGACTTCCTTAGATGATCTAATGGCAAGTGCTTCCTGTGTTTCAGATATTCTCCATTTCTCAAAAGTTCCTTAAATTTTTAGAAACTATTTAAATGTATGTGTACATGCATATGTAAGTAATAGTTCCAATACCATTTACTAAAATTTATTGAGAATATATTTTTTAAAAGATTCTCCTTTATTTTTTTTTAAGATTTATTTATTTGAAAGACAGAGTTACAGAGAGGGGTAGAGACAGAGAGAGGTCTTCCATCTGCTGGTTCACTCCCCAATTGGCCGCAATGGCCGGGGCTGAGCTGATCCAAAGTCAGAAGCCAGGAGCCTCTTCCGGGTCTCCCATGCGGGGGCAGGGGCCCAAGGACTTGGGCCATCCTCTATTGCTTTCTCAGGCCATAGCAGAGAGCTGGATTGGAGGAGGAGCAGCCAGAACTAAAACCGGTGCCCATATGGGATGCCGGCACTTCAGGCCAGGGTTTTAACCTGCTGCGCCACAGTGCCAGCCCCCTATTGAGAATATTAAAATGCCTTTGTCCAGGAAGCTATTTTCAGAAAATTATTTTTAAAAAGAATTAAATTTGGGGTTGGTATTGTAGTATAGCAGGTTAAGTGTCTGCCTGCGATGCTGGCATCCCATATGGTCAACGGTTCCAGACCCGGCTGCTCCACTTCTGATCCAGCTCCCTGCTAATGCACCAGGGAAAGCAGTGGGAGATGGCTCAAGTCCTTGGGCCCCTATACCCACTTGGGAGACTGGGGAAAAGGTTGAGCTCCTGGCCATTGCAGCTTTTTAGGGAGTGACCTCTCTCTCTTTTCTCTCCTCCTCTCTTTCTAACTTTGCCTTTCAAAGAAATAAAATCTTAAAAAAAAAAAAAAGAATTAAATTAAGTAAGTCCTTGTGTTTGGTTTGCATATATATGTGTACATATCCCATATTCCATCAGATATTAAATGCTTTGATATTGGCACAATGTTGATCTTACCACAAAAAAATCAATAAAGTTTTTCACAGGAAGACATCTTGGCTGGTATTTAGCCCTATGCAATTATAAGATAGTATTGATGGGCCGGCGCCGCGGCTCAATATGCTAATCCTCTGCCTTGTGGCGCCGGCACAACGGGTTCTAGTCCCGGTCGGGGCGCTGGATTCTGTCCCGGTTGCCCCTCTTCCAGGCCAGCTCTCTGCCGTGGCCAGGGAGTGCAGTGGAGGATGGCCCAAGTGCTTGGGCCCTGACCCCATGGGAGACCAGGAGAAGCACCTGGCTCCTGCCATCAGATCAGCACGGTGCGGCAGCCATTGGAGGGTGAACCAACGGCAAAGGAAGACCTTTCTCTCTGTCTCTCTCTCTCACTGTCCACTCTGCCTGTCAAAAAAAAAAAAAAAAAAAAGAAGATAGTATTGACTGTAAAATTGCATCATTTTCAAAATGCTAAAATGGCCAAGGGAAGTGTTTTTTAGCGTTAATAAAACTGAGACAATATCACAATTAAATATATCTTTTTAAAAAAGATTTATTTATTCATTTGAAAGGCAGAGTTACGGGGAGGGGGAAGAAATCTTCATCCACTGATTTACTCCCCAAATGGCTACAACTCTTGGGGCTGGGCCAGGCCTAAGCCAGGAGCCAGAAGCCTCACCCAGGTCTTCACAGAGTCCCCAGGGATGCAGGGGCCGAAGGAGCAGAGCCATTTTCTACTGCTTTTCCCAGGTGCCTCAGCAGGGAGCTGGATTAGAAGTAGAGCAGCCAGGACTAGAACTGGTGCCCATATGGGATGCCGGCACTGCAGGCGGAAGCTTAACCCTCTATGCCACAGTGCCGACCCCATAACTAAATATATCTAAGAGAATAAATCTAAAAGATATCAGATAAAAGATAAATTCTTTTTCTGTCACTTATGCTGGAAATATCCAGATCTAGAAAATTCTAGTGCCTAGACATCATATACATCATTTTGCTGACATTTTATTTAGTATTTGACTTTTTTCTTTAATTGGAACTCATTTAGATTTTACTTTTTACAGTTGGATGATGTCAGCCATGCAGCATGAACTGAGAAAATCCTGGTAAGGATTATTCCCTTGACATTTTTAATCTGGTTAAAATGTAGTGTGCTACCAAATTGTGCTAGCAGACTGTATGGTTGTGTAAGATAACCTGAGTTAGGTTTAATTTTCCTGTTAGTTTACTAGATAATTCATGCTTGATTGTTTTGTTAATTTTAGTATAGTATATTTTCTGGAAAATAATCTATTGATGTGGAATATAGAGTAGAATTTTCTCATAATTTCAAAAGGTGATATCCATATCTGTGGCAAAGTCCCTTTAGTTATTCATTACACTATAGTTGTGTGCAATTTTGTTTTTTTCCTTTTTGTCAAATTAGGAAAAAATTAGATTAAGTCCATTAGCTTACTGTTCATTTTTCTTATTAATATCTAATTTTAATTTTATTAACTACTTCCTTCTTTTGGCATTCACCTTATTTTGTATCACTTTTTTCTTGAGTTTAATATTTAATTTTTTCCTAAGTTTTATCAAGTACCTATTACATAAAAGGTATTCCAGTGGGTGCTGAAGGTAAGGAGAACAAAATATTCTGTACTCAATTGTGCTTTTCTGTGTGCATTAAAGTGCATTAATTGGCCACATCTCACGTGTCATTAGCATTCCTTTCTGAAGTTTATCATTTAAATTTTGATTATCACTTTAATCCAAGCCTGTATAATATAACATATGGGTGATTATAAATTTCTAAAAGGAGATGCAAATTATCACCCAATTACTTAACTAACTTAAAAGACAATAATGTACCTTTACAGTACAAAGATCTGGCAGTTACCACCTTAATGAGTGATCAAATTTAGCATCATTTATAATGGGTCAAATTGGAATTATATATTGTGTGTATGAACTGTTCTGTACCTATGACTTGTTCTTGCTAAACATGTTTAACTAGTATCAAATCAAGCTTCTACTTAAGATCCATTTTGAAGACAGAAGAACAAAATGAACAATATGAGGAAATGAACTACACAAGTGAAAAAGTCCAGGGTATCTTAAGACAACTATGATGGACTGTTCAAAAAGCTAGTATCACAAAACAATGATGGGAGGTTGTTTAAAGTGATAGAACAAATATAACAATGCATGATCCTAGAGAGTGTTAAATATCTATAAAATATATTCTTATAACAATTGGGGAAGTTTCAATATGCAGTAGATATTATAAGATTCTATTAAATTATTAATTTTAAGGTATGATTATACTATTTCAATTATATGCAGTTCTTAGGAGGTACAAACCAATTTATTTAGGAGTGAAGTGATATGATATATATGTGTGTATATATATTGTACTCACAAATGGTACAGTAAAAATAATATATTTTATTAAAAACCAAAGTAAATATGCAAATTAAATGTTCAAATGGGTGCTAGTATAGAATGCATTCTGTTTCTCTGTCAGAAAATTTCCATAACAGATTTGTTTAAAAAAATCCCAAGGTGGATAGCTTTTTTTTTAATCCTTTTAATTTCCACAGTATTATACATAAATTCCTCATACCTCTACCTGGTACCTCATTATTTTTTAAAGTGGAGTTTACTTACTTATTTGAAAGGCAAAGAGACAAAGATCTTTGATCTGCTGGTTCACTCCTCATATGCCTGCAACAGTCAGGGCTGGGCCAGGCTGAAGCCGAGCCTGGAACTCAATCTGGGTCTCCCATGTGGGGAGCAGGGATCCAAATGCTGCCTCCAGGGGTGTGCATCAGCAGGAAGCCGGAATCAGGAGCAGAGTCGGGATTCCAACCCAGGCACTCTGATATGGGATTCAGGAGAGCCAAGCAGATTTTTAATTGCTACACCAAATGTCAATGCCAGCCACTATATTCTTATCATCTTCACTCACTATATTTTTAGAGTTTCTTTCCCGCTTTAAATGTCTGGTAGAACTTGAGCAACAAGGTCTGAATTCAGATCTCCACATGTCCTATATTCAAATAAATCATCCTAGTTTGGGCTGGTATGTAACAAAATATCAGAGATTCAATGGTTTATAAATAACAGAATTTTTTTCTTACACTTCTGGAGCTGAAGTCCAAGTTCAGGGTGCTAGCATACTTCAGTTCTCCTGAGGACTTCCTTCTGTGCTGCAAACTGTTGGTTTCCCCCTGTATCCTCACATGGTTGGAAGAGAGCTACAGACAGAACTAGAGAGCTGGAGAGCGCCAGTGAGCTCTTGGGTCTCATCTAATAAGGGCATTAATCGCATTGATAAGGGCTCCACTCGTGACCCAGTTACTTCCCACAGGCCCCACCTCCAAATATTATCACAGTGGGATTAGGGCTTCAACATAAGAATTTTGAACATTCAGTCCCTAATACTATTTTTTTTTTTTTGACAGTGAGAGAGAGAGACAGAGAGAGACAGAGAGAAAGGTCTTCCTTTGCCGTTGGTTCACCCTCCAATGGCCGCCGCGGCTGGCGCGCTGCGGCCGGCGCACCGCGCTGATCCGATGGCAGGAGCCAGGTGCTTCTCCTGGTCTCCCATGGGGTGCAGGGCCCAAGCACCTGGGCCATCCTCCACTGCACTCCCTGGCCACAGCAGAGAGCTGGCCTGGAAGAGGGGCAACCGGGACAGAATCCGGCGCCCCAACCGGGACTAGAACCCGCTGTGCCGGTGCCGCAAGGCGGAGGATTAGCCTAGTGAGCCGCTGCGCCGGCCCCTAATACAAATTTTATCAAAGATGAATTTCCTCAAATACAATGTGGCTTTTCTAAATTGTTAAGTCTACTGCATTTAAAGGATTCACTAAGAGTAATGTTGCTGGTAATAAAAACAATAATGTCCAATATTCAAAAAATATTATTATGAAGGACACTTTTTACAGAAAATGCATATTACAAACCATTAACCACACTTTGAGGACAGTATCATTTTACAATTGAGGCACCAAGAGGTAAATGCTTTGTCTCACATCACACAGGTAATAAGAGAAGTGGAAAGGCAACAATGATAAGTATATATTACTGCTAGCAAATTTCTCATAATTTTTACATTAATTTTTATTTTCAAGTATTTCTTTTGATTTAGCAAGAACTAAGAGGTACTAGAAAGCTCTTACACATTTATTAAGTTAACATGTCTAAAGACTGACACATTGACGGACTTTCTATCTAGCATGATTATTCCATATTATATTATTATATCCTATAAATATTAGTTATTAAAAGTTCATGGAAAATTTATATTATGAAGACCATGAATGGATTTCAATTTTTACACAAAAATAAGCATCTTTTACTCCATTTTTTTTTCATCAGCTTTTTGAAGTTACCTTGAAAAACATGCCTGGTTTCTTACCTTAGGTTATGTTATGAATTCTCTGATGTTGATAAAGATGTGAATGTTGTCTAAAGGCCTTACTACATACCTTACACTTATAAGGTTTCTCACCAGTATGAATTCTCTGATGTTCATTAAGATGTGAATTAAGCCTAAACGCCTTTCCACATTCTTTACACTCATAGGGTTTTTCACCAGTATGAATTCTTTGATGTATTCTAAGGTCTCCACTGCGACTGAAGTCCTTCCCACAGTCCTTACATTTGTAGGGTTTTATACCTGTATGAATTTTTTGATGTTGTGTAAACTGTCCACGCCAACTGAAAGTCTTCCCACATTCTTTACACTCATAGGGTTTTAAACCAGAATGAGTTTTTAGGTGCTCTTTAAGATTTCCTCTACGAATGAAGGCCTTTCCACATTCTTTACATTCGTAAGGCTTTTCACCTGTGTGAATTCTCTGATGTTCACTAAGGTAGAACCCAAATCTAAAGGTCTTCCCACAGCGTGTACATTTGTAGGGTTTTACATCAGTATGAAATTTCTTATGCAGACTAATTTGTGAGCGCCCTCTGAAAGTCTTCCCACATTCCTTACATTCATAGGGCTTTACACCGGTATGAATTCTCTGATGTTCAGTAAGGGCTGAGCGAAGTATAAAGGCTTTCCCACACTCTTCACATTCATATGGTTTCTCACCAGTGTGAATTCTGTGATGTACTCTAAGGTCACCACTAAAACTGAAAGCCTTCCCGCACACTTCACATTCAAAGAGTTTTACACCAGTGTGAATTGTCTTGTGCCTATTAAGCTGTCCACGCACATTAAAGGTTTTCCCGCAGTCCTTGCATTCATAAGGTTTCTTACCTGTATGTGTTCTCCTGTGTTCAGTAAGATAGAAACCAAGTCTAAAGGCCTTCCCACATTCTTTACATTCATATGGTTTTGCACCAGTATGAATTTTCTGGTGACGGGTAAGCTGTCCACACGCACCAAAGGCCTTCCCACACTCCTTACATTCATAGGGTTTCTCACCCGTATGAACTTTCTGATGTTCTGTAAGGTAGAAGCCAAGCCGAAAAGCTTTTCCACATTCTTTACATTCGTAAGGTTTCTCACCAGTATGGATCCTCTCATGCTGAATAATCTCTAAATGACTGAAAAAGCCCTTATCACATTCCTTACACATATAGGGTTTTTGGCCAGTATGAATTCTCCGATGTCGATTAAGCTGTGAGTGAACACTAAAGGCCTTCCCACATTCTTGACATTCGTGGGGTTTCTCCCCCGTATGGAACCTCTGATGCAGAGTAAGCTGATAGTTACGACTAAAGACCTTCCCACATTCCTTGCACTCGTAGGGTTTTTCCCCAGTATGGATTTTCTGATGCAGAGTAAGTTGGTAGCCACTATTAAAAGTATTCCCACATTCTTTACAATCATGATGTTTCTCATCAGAATGAATTTTCTTATGTTGAACTACGTTGGAGTCACAACTAAAGGTTTTTCCATGTTCTCTGTCATTTAGAGGAAAAGACGTATTGTTTTGAGATGTTGGCTCTTTGTCATTGCTGATTTTCATTGGACTGCAATATCCTTCTTGAGCTTCCTGTCGTCCTTCACACTCACGTTTGCTCTCCCAATCCTTCCTCAAAGTGGGTCCTTTAAAGTCAAAGGTTTTACTTCTTTTTATTTTCTCCCAGTTGGATAAACCAATTTCACAACTGCCATTTTCTGGAGCTAACCTCTTATTCTCAGTCCTGGGGAACAAACCTGAAAAAAACAAAAAAGCAAACAAAGATTATTTTCCTGTAGCCATGTAAAGATAAAGCATCTATCTTCAAAATAGGAGACGAATGTTTTCATTAGAAGTAAACGGCTTAAGGAACTTTATAATATAGTTATGTAATTTGAACTCAGGCAATATGATCTTAGAGAATGAGGGATTATATAAGATTGTGATGATATGGAAAATAGTTTACATCCAATGATTCTGAAATGTTGGTGTGGTTAAGAATTATCTGGGGAATTTGTTATAAATACTACTATTCTTTTTTTTTTTTTTTTTGACAGGCAGAGTGGACAGTGAGAGAGAGACAGAGAGAAAGGTCTTCCTTTGCCGTTGGTTCACCCTCCAATGGCCACTGCAGCCTGCACACCACGCTGATCTGAAGGCAGGAGCCAGGTGCTTCTCCTGGTCTCCCATGGGGTGCAGGGCCCAAGCACTTGGGCCATCCTCCACTGTACTCCCGGGCCACAGCAGAGAGCTGGGCTGGAAGAGGGGCAACCGGGACAGAATCCGGCGCCCCGACCGGGACTAGAACTCGGTGTGCCGGCGCCGCAAGGTGGAGGATTAGCCTAGTGAGCCGCGGCGCCGGCCAATACTACTATTCTGATACCACTCTAGATCAAGTAAAGATCTATAGGAGGAGCTGAGTATCTTAATTTTTTAATTACACTAGATTGTTCTGAAAGAGATTATCAAAGTTTGAGAATCTCCATTTAACAATATTAGTTGTTTTCCTTTATTCTCAGAATAAAATCCAAAACATGTCACCACAGATTACTTAAAAAACTCTTTCAAAGGCACTGTGCTCCTCACTCTCTATGACAGCTTTTTCTACTCAGCTTCTAGATTTTTCTGTGACCTTGCTGATACAATACAGATTTGTACATGCTGTTTCATTTCCTAAAAATGATCTGTCCTGGCTCTGTGAAAGGCTGATTCCTCTTCATCCTTCACTCCTCGTCATCCTTCAATATTAGGTTAAACATCTCTTACACAGACAGGGCTACTGGCTGTCAGTCAGTCTTTATCCTTTATTTTCTGTTCCAGCATCAGTTTCTTTATTTCATTTCACAATTTTCAAATGCATAGCCATTGATTTTCTGCTCTTATGTTTATTTTCTGATTCCTAAAGTTTCTCTAAGGAAGATGTAATCTAGCACATAGCAGGTATTAAGTAATTACAGAAAGGAAATTATATATATATATATTTTTTTTGACAGGCAGAGTGGACAGTGAGAGAGAGACAGAGAGAAAGGTCTTCCTTTTGCCGTTGGTTCACCCTCCAATGGCCGCCGTGGCCAGCGCACCACGCTGATCCGATGGCAGGAGCCAGGTGCTTCTCCTGGTCTCCCATGGGGTGCAGGGCCCAAGCACCTGGGCCATCCTCCACTGCACTCCCTGGCCATAGCAGAGAGCTGGCCTGGAAGAGGGGCAACCGGGACAGAATCCGGCGCCCCAACCGGGACTAGAACCCATTGTGCCGGCACCACAAGGCAGAGGATTAGCCTAGTGAGCCGCGGCGCCGGCCCAGAAATTATATTTTAAAGAAAGGAAATATGATAAGACTCAAGGCAGATACTCATAATACAACGATAAATCACTCTGTGAGACAACTGAATATTGATGACAATAACCTAATTTCTATAGTTTTTGAAGAATCACGTATTTCTCCCTACCTTTAAACTCCAAAAATTCACTACAGAGATTAAATGCACTCTTTCCTTCCTTACTTCCTTTACAGATCATAACAAACGTAAATCCAAGGTAGCTTAGCCAAATGAATAAAAAGAAAAGGGTCCTTGTGCTATTTAATCATTCTTTAAACAGCTGCCCAATTAAACAGAAATGTGTCTACCACTGTTTTTCATTGCTTACTCTCTATAGAGATCCGCATCAATTACATGTATTCAGTTGAGTTTTACAGTTATTCAACCATCCTATTGGATTGCTCACTCTACTTCCTTCATAAATTTCCCAGACTTCCCTTCTGTTCACTTACATCTACAACCAATCATTCTTATACTTTATGGACGAGTATCTGAATGACTTTTTATGTATTATTACAGGTTACGTGCCATACTGAACAGTTTTTTTAAGAACAAGAAAACTTCACAACTTCAGAAAAAGAATAATTAAATAGTATGGGTAAATGGCCAGGAAATTTACAGTGCCAGGGGATCTATTTTTTTGTGTGTTTGTTTACTTACTTTTAATTGAAAGGCAGAGCAACAGGGAGGGAGGGAGACTGATCTTCTGTGAACTGATTCATTCCCCAAATGCCTGCAAGAGCCAAAACTGGGCTGGCTGAAATCAGGAGCCTGGAACACCATCAAGGTCTTCCACATGGGCAGTAGGGGCCCAAGGACTTGAGCCGTCATATACTGCTTCCCAGAACACATTAGTAGGAAGCTAGACCAGAAGCAGAGGAACTGGGACTCAAACCAGCACTCAGATAAAGGATGTGGGCATTGCAGGTGGTAAATTAACCAACTATGCCACAACAGCCACCCCAACGGAATCTATTTAAAAAGATACATTAAGGGGCCAGTGTTGTGACACAGTGGTTTAAGCTGCTGCTTGTGATGCCAGCATCATGTCTTGGAGTGCCAACTGGAGTCCTAGCTGCTACGCTTCCAATCCACATTCCTGTTATTTTTTTTATTTATTTATTTATTTTTTTTGACAGGCAGAGTGGACAGTGAGAGAGAGAGAGACAGAGAGAAAGGTCTTCCTTTGCCGTTGGTTCACCCTCCAATGGCCGCCGCGGCTGGCGCGCTGCGGCCGGCGCACCGCGCTGATCCGATGGCAGGAGCCAGGAGCCAGGTGCTTTTCCTGGTCTCCCATGGGGTGCAGGGCCCAAGCACTTGGGCCATCCTCCACTGCACTCCCTGGCCACAGCAGAGGGCTGGCCTGGAAGAGGGGCAACCGGGACAGAATCCGGCGCCCCGACCGGGACTAGAACCCGGTGTGCCGGCGCCGCTAGGCGGAGGATTAGCCTAGTGAGCCGCCGCACCGGCCCACATTCCTGTTAATGTTCCTGGGAAGGCAACGGAAGGTGGCTCAAGTACTTGGGCCCGTGAGACCCATGTGGGAGACTAAGATGGAGTTCCTCGTTCCTGGCTTTGGCTTGGCCCAGTCCTGGCTGTTGTGGCCACTGGGGAGTGAACCAGTGGATGGAAGATCTCTCTCAGTCTCTTCATCTTTGTCGCTCTGCCTTTCAAATAAATAAATAAATATTGATTAAAAAGATATATTAAATGAAAGCTGGAGAGTGGTAATGCAGAGAAGGGCAGAATCTAAAAACATCTACATAAATCAGGTGCAATTTGAAATAGAGAGGAAGTTTTCTCTAACTGTTTTAAGTGTAAAAAAAAAATGGGGGTGGAGTGAGGAACTTAAGCAAAACAGTGTCTGAACACTGCAATAAATATTGGAATAATGGGGCCAGTGTTATGACATAGCAGGTAAAGCCACCACATAGCAGGTAAAGACAGTGGCATCCCATGTGGGTGCCAGTTTCATGAACTGGCTGCTCCACTTCCCATCCAGCTTTCTGCTAATGGCCTGAGAAAAGCAGTGGAAGATGGCCCAAGTACTTGGGACTCTGCCTCCTACATGGGAGACCCAGATGAAGCTCCTGGTTCCTGGTTTTGGCTTGAACCAGTCCCAGCCATTGTAGCTATCAGGGGAGTGAGGGAACCAGCAGATAGAAAATCCATCTTTTTCCCTTTCTTTCTATAATATTGACTTTCAAATAAATCTTTAAAAAAAAACTCTTAATTTATTTAACAAACTGTACTTTATTCAAAATATCATAATAGTATTGTATTAGATAATGTATACTTATGTGTATGAGAAGACTTCAAAGAGTTCAAGGAGGGGCCGGCATTGTGGCGTAGCTGGTAAAGTCGCCACCTGCAATGCTGACATTCCATATAGGTGCTGGTTTGAGTCTGGGCTGCTCCACTTCTGATCCAGCTCCCTGCTAATGCGCCTGGGAAAGCAACAGAAGATGGCCCAGACTTGGGCCCTTAACACCCATGTGGGAGATCCTGGATGAAGCTCTTAGCTCCTGGTTTTAGCCTGGCCCAACTCTGGCAAGTGCGGCCATTTTGGGGAGTGAACCAGTGGATGGAAAACCTCTCTCTCTGTCTCTCCCTCTCTCTCTGTAACTCTGCCTTTCAAATAAATCTTAAAAAAAAAAAAGTTCAAGGAAAATGTGTATTATTAAAAAACAAGGCATGAATTTCAAATTTTTTTGCACAAAAATAAGCTTATCTTTTAATTTCATTTCCCATGAAAATTTTGAAGTACTCTCAAATATAAAATGCTTTGAATAACACTTCATATAGAGTAAATAATCAGTTAAATGTTAACTGTTACTATTGTTAATTGCTGACTGAGAAAATAAAAAGTGAACAAGCCATTGAAATGCATGTAAACAAACATTAAAGAATAGTGTCTTGTACTTCAAACAGGCAACTCTTCCTTCATCTCTTTCATCATCTCTTCCAGTTCTAAGCTCATGATCTTCCTTAGCCCTCCAATTAAAACCAAGCATTGAAAAGAAATGAGTAATCTTTCCTTTGTCACATCAATCAGTCATCTGCATTCATAGTTGCATCCGCAGTTCTCTCTCTTAATTCCTGTTGTGCACCCATTCCTATCCCCTTTTCCAATTCCCATATTTATCCTTCCCTCTACTACATTTTCTCCCTTAGATGGAATCATTCTTACCTGAAAATCTCGTATCTTGAAATATGCTCTGATATCCTATATCACTGTCTAGCTACTAATCTTGTCACTAGTTCTCTTCCTAACAAAATTCCCATTAAAGACATTTTCTATCTCAACATCAGCACTGCCTCACCTCCAGTTCTCTTTGAGACATATCTAGCAAGCTTGCACCACAGAGTCCACTGAAACGTTGACCCGCTGACACAGTCACAGCCAACTTCCTTCCTGCCAAGTCTTCCTCGTAGATGGACACTTCCTCCTGCCTGAAACATTGTCTTCTTCCTTCAGGAGTGCTTGTTCTCAGTCTACTGGCTCCCTTCTCTTCCTTCTCTAAACAGAGCCCCTGGCTCATCTGGCCTTCTTCATTCTATCAGCACATATTCATTCATTCCCTAGGGGAGGGGTCAGCAAACTTTTTCTATAAAGAGCTGGATGGTCAGTACCATAGGCTTTGTGGGCCACATTGTTTCTGTTTCAACTGCTCAACTCTACCAAACAAAATGTGTGTAAATAGATACATGTGGCTATATTCCAGTAAAACTTTATTTCCAAAAGGAGTCAGTGGGTCAGATCAGGCCTAAGTGATTTTTCCAGTCCCACTGATATATGTCCAAGTTTCTATAAATAGTACTAACCTCTCCATGAGTGCTGTATTTGCTTCTTCAGCTGCCTACTCAACACCTCCACCTTGAGTAATTCATAGGCATCTTAAGTGTAATGTATCTGAAACAGGACTCTCTTTCCATTCTCCAAGCTATATTTCCCATCTGCCCATTATAGTACATTATGTGCACTATTCTGCTTACATAAAGATATGATCTCCTATGATCGTCAATTTCCTTTTTTTCCCACACCCCATGCATGTTTGTTGCCCTACTTTCAGAACATAAGAGCAACACAGCATCTTCCCACCACTCCTCAGCAAGCCTGTATCACTGCTAGTCTAGACCTCTGAAAGAGTCTTTCAACTCATCTTCCTACTTCTAACCTTGTATATTCCCTACAGAGCATCTATAGTGATTATTTTAAAACAGATTATGGCTATGAATAAAATTTCTCACTGTGATAAAACTATATAAGATAGGGCCCCTGCTCAATTCTATACTTACAATTAACAATTCTTCCCCCTTCAAATCTTCTTTGAACATCTTGCTGTGCCTCAAACACACAAAGTTCATTCTTCACTAGACATAGCATGGTCCTTTCCTAAATACTCAAGTGGATTAAGACAGCCCCTCCTTAGAAAAACTTTCTGGAGCCAGCACTGTGGTGTAGTGTGTGGGGCCGCCACCTGCAGTGCCAGCATCCCATATGGCTGCTCCACTTCTGATCCTACTCTCTGCTATGGCCTGGGAAAGCAGTAGAAGATGGCCCAAGTCCTTGGGCCCCTGCACCCATGTGGGAGACCCGGAAGAAGCTCCTGGCTCCTGGCTTCAGATGGGCACAGCTCCAGTCGTTGCGGCCAATCGGAGAATGAACCAGCGGATGGAAGACTTGTCTCTCTCTCTCTCTCTCTCTCTCTCTCTCTCTGGCTCTCCTTCTCTCACTGTGTAACTCTGACTTTCAAGGAAATAAATACATCTTTAAAAATAAAAAAGCTTTCCTTGAGCACCCCACCTAAATTAACCCTGACCCACCTCTGTCCCCTTGCCTTGCATACCTTCATACAAGCATCATTGTTTAATGTTATATTATCCGTTCATTTATTTATAGTTAGTTGCATCTCTCGCATAACGACCAAGGCAATCTCAATGGTGTGAGGAGGTCTTGGCCTTGCTGATGAATGTATTGAGAGTATCTGGCACTGTGCCTGGCTCTGAATGTGCACTCGGTAAATACATGCTGAATAGGTGAAGGAGTGAACTTTTAGGCATTGGAAACAAGCACATAAGGACGCAAAGAAAATAGGATGAAAAGCAAATGGTTGTACTGAAAAAGAAAAGGGACATTCTCTTTATTGAAATAAGAGGCTGTTAGGAGGGGAGGGGGGAAAAACATGGACAGTGATAACTCGGTGCCAAGATGACACTGTTTTGGTAGTTTATGCTAAGAAAGCCTGTTTCCTTCCCTGTCTTGAGCCTTTGGGCCTGAGGCCTCAGAAGAGAAATTTCCAGATTATAAAGCCAGGGCATTCTCCCTAAACAGCTGGCTTTTCCTGGCAATGATAACTTCCACTTGACTGATGAGTCCTCACTCACCTGGGTATGGTCTTGCTGTCACAACCCTTGCCACCGTACAAGGCTCTCGCCCTTGCTCCAATAAGGTAATCACATCTGGCTTTGAGGCAGCATGTCCTGTTTGCAAGAAGGAAATAAAAGAAGCAGAAGTAAAACATGCAAATTCAGAAACACCTTGAGGCTTGGTTAAACCTAGTAATAAAATCTGAATCAACAAGAATTGATAAAAACTTTCAAGAAAATTAATAGGATTAAGGAATATTCAATTTAGGGTGACCCAAGGATCCCAGAGATCCTAAAACTTGGTGAGCAGGGAAAGGGTCTCATTTGGAAGTAAAATTCATACAGGTGTACTCTATCAAGAGGTGGTAGCGACTGAGAGCACAGACTCTGGAGCCAGACTTTGTGGCCTCAAATTCCACCTGACCTCCTCCTGACTAATGGTTATAGCAAACTATACCAATTTTCTGGGCCTCAGTCTGTAAAAGTAATATTTATTTCATAGCTAATACTTGGAACAGTGCCTGGCATATAGTAAGCATTTTATTAGCTATTCTTATTTCTGCTGGTATTAATCTATATAAAGCAAAAAAAAAGTTTCCTAATATATTTTAGGTTCCTGCTACTATATTCTTTTAGAGTTAGTTGCTAAGCTAATACATTTTACCTTTTAATCAAAAACAAGTAAAAGAAAATGTTTATTGTAGGGAACAGAATGTGTTTACTTTAATTTAAAATACATTTTGAGGGGCTGGCACCGTGGCTCACTTGCTTGATCCTCAGCATGTGGTGCCGGCATCCCATATGGGCGCTGGGTTCTAGTCCTGGCTACTCCTCTTCCGGTCCAGCTCTCTGCTGTGGCCCGGGAGGGCAGTGGAGGATGGCCCAAGTGCTTGGGCCCTGCACCTGCATGGGAGACCAGGAAGAAGCACCTGGTTCCTGGCTTCAAATGGGCATAGCTCCAGCTGTAGTGGCCATTTGGGGGATGAACCAACGGAAGGACGACCTTTCTCTCTGTCTCTCTCTCTCTCTCACTGTCTATAACTACTTGTCAAATAAATTAAAAATAAATTAAAAAATACATTTTTTCTGCCAAGGCCATTTGGTTATTTATGACATCATTCACTGGCCATATGAAAGTATCAACTTAAAAATCAGCCTGTTACAGATTTATTGAATTTTGAGTCCCACCTATAGTTGCCTTGGCAGGGCCAGGCCAAATGGTTTTTGTGAGCCTTACATGATTCATGGGCCAGACTTTCTCACCCCTGAATGACGTATAAATTGTAGACCTTGGAGGTTGGCTGTTTTCCTTGTAGCCAGGATACCGAAAAACAAAAAACATCCATTACAATTCTAAACTTGAATACATTATAAAACCTGATTTTCTTGGCATTGACTTTTCGGTAAATGTCTCAGCATTCAAATCCAATCTCTTAGTCATTAAGAAAGCCAATTACAGGAGTAGATAAATGTTTCACAAAGATCACTAAGTGTGGTGAAGAAGGAAAGTATTTAATAGGAGTATCATTTACAAGCCAGCAAAGTTCAGTTCATCCCTGAGAAACAGATACGAAATCCAGCTAGTCTCTGAAAAACCTGTCCTGAATTCAAGGAAATGAAAGCTACCATTGCAGAGAGCAGAGTCTATGTTATTCGAGGTGGATGACCTTACCCAGTGAGACAAGGTTACGGTAATTCTCCAACATCACATCTCTGTACAAGTTCCTCTGAGAAGTGTCCAGGCACTCCCATTCCTCCTGAGAGAACTCGACAGCCACATCCCTGAACATCACCAGTGCCTGAAACCATAAAGCAACAGGTTAATGGCGAAATTACAAAACCTTGACTTAAGAAAGGAGAAGAGGAGGTGAAAGATTTCACTGCAGGAAGGGGAACTAGACCAAACTGGGTTGGGGCTGAAGGCGTATGACAAAGGTAGGACACAGTAGGGAAACTGGTGTTCTGAGATAGTCACCTCACTTTTTTTTTTAAAGATTTATTTCAAAGGCAGTGTTGCAGGGAGAGAGACACACACATAGAGAGCGCTTCCATCTGCTGGTTCATTCCTCAAGTGTCCACAATGGCTAGGGCTGGGCGTGGCCAAAGCCAGGAGCCAGGAACTGCATCTGGGCCTCCCACGTGCAGGGGCACAAGGACTTGAGCCGCCGGCGCCGTGACTCACTAAGCTAATCCTCTGCCTTGAGGCGCCGGCACACTGGGTTCTAGTCCCAGTCAGGGCGCCGGATTCTGTCCCGGTTGCCCCTCTTCCAGGCCAGCTCTCTGCTGTGGCCCGGGAGTGCAGTGGAGGATGGCCCAAGTGCTTGGGCCCTGCACCCCATGGGAGACCAGGAGAAGCACCTGGCTCCTGCCATCGGATCAGCACGGTGCGCCAGCCACAGCGCGCCGGCCGGGGCGGCCATTGGAGGGTGAACCAACGGCAAAGGAAGACCTTTCTCTCTGTCTCTCTCTCTCACTGTCCACTCTGCCTGTAAAAAAATAAAAAAAATAAATCATGGATTTTTTTCTTAAATACTGTATAAAAAATCTTAAAATAAGGGATTTGCATAACATTAGAAAATTTAAGCCTTAAGTTCATCATTATGTCATTTTATAAATTTTTCCTTGTTTTCACAAATTCTGTTATAAATTATTTTCTCAGCTATATGACAGTAATCTTATGGATATACCAAATTTAATAACAGAGTTCAGAAAGTAAAACACTTACATTGGACAAATACCTCTTAAGCCTTCTCTAATTCTGGGAGAACATAATGATGTAACATTTATGCATCTGCATGATTTTCTTATAAGTATTGTATACCTTTCTTGATTCTGAGATAAAAGATACTGCTGTAGAATAAACCAGGGTGGGGCTGGCATTGTGGTACAGAGGGTCTTGCAATGCCAGCATCCCATATGAGCACCAAGTCGTGTCCTGGCTGCTCCACTTCCAATCCAGCTCTCTGCTATGGCCTGAGAAAGCAGTACAAGACAGCCCAAGTGCCTGAGCCCCTGTACCCACGTGGAAGACCAGGAAGAAGCTTCTAGCTCCTGGCGTTGGATTGGCATAGCTCTGACTGTTGCAGCCATTTGGGAAGTGAACCAGCAGATGGATAACCTCTCTCTCTCTCTCTCTCTCTCTGCCTCTCTGTAACTCTGCCTTTCAAATAAATAAATAAAAATATATTTTTAAAGATTTATTTTATTTATTTGAAAGGCAGAGTTACAGAGACAGGTAGAGACAGAGAGAGAGGTCTTCCATTCGCTGGTTCACTCCCCAGATGGCCCCAACAACAGAGCTGCGCCGATCCGAAGCCAGGAGCCAGGAGCTTCTTCCGGGTCTCCCACATGGGTGCAGGGGCCCAAGGACTTGGGCCATCTTGTACTGCTTTCGCAGGCCATAGCAGAGAGCTGGATCTGAAGAGGAGCAGCTGGGACCAGAATTGGCACCCATATGGGATGCCGGTTCTTCAGGCCAGGGCGTTAACCCACTGTGCCACAGCCCCAGCCCATAAATAACAATATTTTAAAAAATATATTAAAAAAAAAAAAACAAGAAGCAAAAAACAACAACTTACATGGGCCATGATTTTAGAATCAAAAGAATTGGTTGGTCTTCCTTAAGATTTCTCCTGGAGAAGCAAAGTTCTGAGAAGCCTGAATTGGGCAAGAAAAAATGAGACAATGAAATCAAAATATATAAATGAATAATCTTTTTATTCTCAATTCTTGATTACAAATGTCTTCCCCAAACACTTCCCTCACCTTCCCCATAGACATCCTCACCACACCAAGGAAACATGCTCTATAGGGATGGACACGAGGCAGTATTCCTGAGTTAGCATTCATGTCCAGCACTTCATTAAGAGAGATTTAAAAAAAAAAGATTTATTTTATTTATTTTAAAGAGCTACACAGAGAGAGAAGGAGAGAGAGAGAGGAGGAAGAAGGGAGGGAGAGAGGGAGAGAGAGAAAGTGTTCCATCCACTGGTTCACTCCCCAATTGCCCATAATGGCTGGAGCTGCGTCGATCTGAAGCCAGAAGCTTCTTTCAGGTCTCCCACGCGGGTTTAAGGACCCAGAGACTTGGGCCATCTTCTACTGCTTACCCAGGTCATAGCAGAGCTGGCTCGGAAATGGAGCTGCCGGGACTCACTGCAGGTGGTGGCTGCAGGTGTGTGCTACGCCACAGCGCCGGCCCCAAGAGTTTTTTTTTTTTTTTTTTTTTAAGATTTATTTATTTATTTATATGAAAGGCAGAGTTACAGAGAGACAGAGGCAAAGAGAGAGAGATAGAGAGGTCTCCCATCCACTGGTTCACTCTCCAAATGCCTGCAACAGCTGGAGCTGGGCCGATCTGAAGCCAGGAGCCAGGAGCTTCTTCCAGGTCTCCCATGAGGATGCAGGGGCCCAAGGACTTGGGCCATCTTCTACTGCTTTTCCAGGCTACAGCAGAGAGCTGGATCAGAAGTGGAGCAGCCAGGGCTCGAACTGTTGCCCATATGGGATCCCAGCGCTGCAGGTGGCAGCTTTACCTGCTATGTCACAGTGCTGGTCCTGTCAACAAGAGAGTTTTGGGCCAGTCCTATGACAAGAATGCTTCTAAGTCTGAGGCTTGGATTCATAACTGCCCAGAATAGATGCTCCTTCCTTAAATCTCACCATTCAAAAAGAAGCACATGATTTAGAGCTGACCATCTTCATGGCCGCAGGCCTTTCTGGCCTCCCCAAACTTGAAGACAAAAGACAGGAGAGACCAGATGGTTCATGAAACAAAATTGGCCCACCCATGTAGTTCTGTAAACACAGTTCCAGTGAAACACAATCATGCCCATTTGCTTACTCTTGTCTATGACTACTTTCAGAAAGCTATGCAGCCAAGTTGAATAGTTATAATGGAGATTTTATGGCCCTAAAGCCTAGACTATTTACTATTTGGGCCTTTATTTTTTATTTTATTTATTTATTTATTTATTTTTTGACATCCAGAGTTAGACATTGAGAGAGAGAGAGAAAGAGAGAGAGAGAGAGAAAGATCTTCCTTTTTCTGTTGGTTCACCCCCCAAGTGCTGCGCCGATCTGAAGCCAGGAGCCAGGCGCTTCCTCCTGGTCTCCCATGTGGGTGCAGGGCCCAAGCACTTGGGCCATCCTCCACTGCCTTCCCAGACCACAGCAGAGAGCTGGACTGAAAGAGGAGCAACTGGGACAGAATCTGGTGCCCCGACTGGGACTAGAACCTGGGGTGCTGGCGCCGCAGGCCGAGGATTAGCCTGGTGAGCTGCTGCGCCGGCCTGGACCTTTATTTAAAATAAAGTTTAGGTTGGTGCTGTGGCATCATGGGTAAAGCCGCCACCCGTGATACTGTCATCCCATGTGTGCATCAGTTTGTGTACTGTTTGCTCCACTTCCAATCCAGCTCCCTGCCAATGGCCTGGGAAAAGCAGCAGAAGGTATCTTTTTTTTTTTTTTAAGATTTATTTATTTATTTGAAAGTCAAGAGTTATTCAGAGAGAGGAGAGGCAGAGAGAGAGAGAGAGAGAGAGAGAGAGAGAGAGAGGTCTTCCATCCAATGGTTTACTTCCCAATTGGCCACAATGGCTGGAGCTGTGCCGATCCAAAGCCAGGAGCCAGGAGCTTCTTCTAGGTCTCCCACCTGGGTGTAGGGGCCCAAGGACTTGGGCCATCTTCTCCCAGGCCATAGCAGAGAGCTGGATTGGAAGTGGAGCAGCCGGGTCTCGAACCAGTGCCCATATGGGATGCTGGCGCTTCAGGCCAGGGCATTAACCCACTGTGCCACAGCATTGGCCCCAGAAGGTATCTTCATACAGTGTGTGATTTGAGGACATGTAACAAAATTGACTCATAAAAACATGTCATATAAAATGACACAAATGCTCCTCTCCATTCCTGTGTCAGGCGGGCAGACTCTGCAACCACTGAATGGAAGTGTGGACACATGCCCATCACTCTTTTCACATGTTGCTAGGGGGAGTTATGACCCCATGCGCCTCCACGGCTGAAGAGCAGAGAGTACAGGGAGGCTGTAAGGAGAGAGGGTGTGAGCCTGAGAGTGTGACTCACTCCTGCCCAGCATCCAGCTAGATGCCACGGGTGCCCTCCCCACTTGTGCTCACCTGCCAGTCAGTAGGCCCTCCTCAATTCTGCATGAGGATTTTGCTGGTCACATCATGACCTTGACTGGAGTCACCAAGAAAGGCCCCATTGAGCTAGGGAGGGGGGCAGGAAGGTGAACACTGGACATCCCAATTCTCAGGACCCTCTTTACCAAATTAATAATGGATTTCAAGTAAAGTAAAAACATCAGTTCACTTAAAAAAAAAAAAAAAGACAAGGCAGAGTGGTTGTTCCTAGGGTAAGCATGATTGAGAACTCAAGAACTTGGGCAGTGGCATGTTCTGCCCACCCCTCACCTGAAACAGTCATGTATAGTTTCAGTTTTATTTCCCAGCCCGAATCCTTTGCTTTCTTAAACACACATGAGCAAGGGCTTACACACAAATGTATGGATACAGAGACACACACACACACACACAGAGAGAGAGAGAACAGCTGGAGGAGGGAGCTTAATTCACCTAACAAATAATAGCTGGAGAGAGCGTGGGCCATTCCCCATTTGTGAGCCAAGAGCAGTTCAGCCTCATCCCGCTGGGCCCAGTGGGGCTGGTAGGTGAGGAAGAAAGGCAGTGAGAGCCTTATTCAGTGTACAGAAAATGAGGAAACAGCAGGACAGTGGTAGGCCAGGAGGTGGGACATGAATTTTGACAAGGAGCTGGAAGAGTGAGGGCAGAGTTGGCCAGAGCTGAGCCTCACTCCTGAGCTTCCTGGCTTCCAGCCCCAGGAGTCCCAGTTTCCTGTGTTCCGTGCTTTGCCACTCACTCCTCCTCCCATTCAACCAAATGACAGGGCAAAGGCCCATGCAGGTGCAGGTTTTCCTCAGGGTCAGTTCTAATCACGTGTTTTCCACTCATCAAATACACCAGCCATGCTCACGACAGATAGCTCCCCAATGCCAGGGTACAGCTACGTGAACGGAGACTGTCCTGAGCTTATGACACATTTGATTGGTAGTATTTAGTTTGTGAGAATGGAGGTAAGGCAGATAACTGGCCTCCCACTCTCAGAGCCAGGAATGGGCCCCACCAGGGGCCCCAGTGACTATAGGACACCCCAGAAGGAAGGGAAAGACCTCAAAATTGGGCACTTAGTTCTTGGAAAAGACCACGAGGGGCGCCAGGGAATGGGGGAGTGCCAACCCTCTTGAAGTCTGAGCCCAGGTCTTGGTCCCAGGACCCTCTTCCCACTACTGCATATCTTCATTGCCTTCTCCCCTATGTGCTTGACAATATTGTTGAAGGTCTCCTTCCTTTTGGACGGAAAGCTGAAGACATTGACATTTTTGGTCTTTCTGTTACTTTTTTTTTAAAGATTTTATTTATTTGTTTGAGAGACAGTTACAGAGAGAGGGAGAGACAGAGAGAATGGTCTTCTTTCTGCTGGTTCATTCCCCAAATGGCTGTAACAGCTGGAGCTGAGCTAAGCCGAAGCCAGGAGCCAAGAGCTTCTTCTGGGTCTCCCACAAGGGTGCAAGAGCCCCAGGACTTGGGCCATCTTCTACTGCCTTCTCAGGACATAGCAGGGAGCTGGATCAGAAGAGGAACAGCCGGGACTTGAACCAGTGCCCATATGGGATGCCAGCACAGCAGGCAGTGGCTTTACCTGCTCTGCCACGGTGCCAGCCCCTTGCTGCGTTTTTTTTAATGGCTTTGTGGATTTCTACAAACATTTCTACCTTAAAGTTGACCAAGAGGAGATGGCAAGGCCAGCCTCAAGTAGATCCAGAGCTGTACACAGTAGTATGTACCATAGTAGTATGGTAATTGGTGCTAAGGTTCACATCAGCCACAAAGTCACGGAAGCTGATGGTGGAGATGGTGATGAAGGAGTAGTAGAGGCAATCGACTGGTAGGGGCACTCATATTCAGTCACCATGAACATGAAGGGTGGGATCACCAGATGAACTAGGAAGCTCTACACCTTGAAGACGGCCATGTATATTATCTGTGCCACCCACAGACTCATGTCTTTCCTGGTGAGGAACTGGCCTGGGCTATTGGCACATCCCTGGAAGAACTTGCCCAAGGTGTTGACCCACATGAGGCAGAACAGCAGCCCAAGGGACCACAGAAGAGACACCTAGCAGTAGTCTTTGGTGCCACATTGGCATAGCCAATGGTGGTGGTGATAGCTGGCTGCAAAAACCCTTGCACTGGCCCAGTTCCTGCTGTTGATAGTCTGGTTCCTTGTGATGACCACACTCTGTCCTATTGCATCAGATACCAGCTGCAGCATATTATCCAGGCTCACTTGGCCCAGGCACAGAAACCCCTGTGCAGATGCAGCTTCTGTGCATAGTAATTTTTCTTGGTCTCCTTCCATTATCATTTCCAAGATCCCTGCCTGGATGTCCAGGTAGAAGATGATGGCTGAGGGGAGCAGAGCCTCAGTCCACATGGTTCTGGAGCAGCCACTTCCTAGACAAACCTCCTCATCACCAACTCCTGATCCACCCACCCGCCAGCCTCTGCAAACAACCTTTTGACTTTGGAGCTCTGCATACTTAATACCTGTTCCTGCCA